ATATAATTGTCAATATGCGTAATAATTTGTGAAATTAAAAACGGTTGAACAACTGAAATAATTGCATAAAAAAATATTATAATTTACAACAAAATATAAGAAATATTATTTACGATACTATTTTTAATAAATTTATAATGTAGATACAAATTTAGTTGTCATATAACATAGACACAATTAACAATTATTTATTAGACATAAAAATTAAAATTTTACAAAAAGTGGACATAAAGTTTTTGTGCATTAAGTAATCGATATATGTATTTATAAAACCTATAAGTTCGAATTCTACTTGGGAAAATACTATTTTGTGTTTTCTAAGATAAAGTTCCACCTATAACTGTTGTTAACTGCTCGTGATTACCTTGAAGGTGTACGAACCTTGTAGGTGTTTTGCACGCTTGTGCCAACGAAAAACTATAGACTGTATTCGGAGGACCACACAATAGTTCGTGAAAAATTCTAAGTGTTTATTTTGTAATTATATATTTAACCATATTTCTTCTAAGTGATCTACGATTTCTAAGTGTCACTATCTATTTTCTACAATGTTCTATTGTTTGCTATGGCCGACATAACCTCAGCATAGACGTTCCTGACGGGGGAGGAGTATTCTGATGCGTCCAAAAAATATAAGATCTATGGAAGGGAGGTGGAAGGTTTCCGCCCTTCTTTACTTTTTCCCACTCGCCAAATCTTACTAATTCAACCATTGACCGTGGCAAGCAATAAAGTCAAGCAGTGTGCTGACTCGCGCACGTTTATTCAACAGAAATTAATCCGTTGAATAATAATTGAATATGAGTCCGAACGGTTGACTCGAAGACGTCCTAAACGGTGGACTCGTGAAATTGATAAGTCCGTCGCGAATGACTCGTAAAATTTCTAAGTCCGTAATCGAATGACTCGTAAAATTTCTAAGTCCGTAATCGAATGACTCGTAAAATTTCTAAGTCCGTAATCGAATGACTCGTAAAATTTCTAAGTCCGTAATCGAATGACTCGTAAAATTTCTAAGTCCGTAATCGAATGACTCGTAAAATTTCTAAGTCCGTAATCGAATGACTCGTAAAATTTCTAAGTCCGTAATCGAATGACTCGTAAAATTTCTAAGTCCGTAATCGAATGACTCGTAAAATTTCTAAGTCCGTAATCGAATGACTCGTAAAATTTCTAAGTCCGTAATCGAATGACTCGTAAAATTTCTAAGTCCGTAATCGAATGACTCGTAAAATTTCTAAGTCCGTAATCGAATGACTCGTAAAATTTCTAAGTCCG